TTGTAGTTTCTCCGTAATTAAAGGAAGCTGCCATTATTACTGGCATTCATCAGCCACAACTTACCACGCCATATTCCACTGCAGCTCACTTATTCTGGTCAACTAGTAAAGGTAACAAGGTCCTGCTTCCTCAGGGAAGGAATTAAGAGAGTTGCACAGGTCAGTTACTTACACAGGCATGTATGTTTGAAGTCTATATAAACCCAGCTTGGTGCGGAAGTATTTCTACTTCTATACTCTACAAAAGTCACAGCAGTAAGTTTGGCCCATAGTAAAACCTAACAGCACTCTGGCAAAGCTACCATGCAATCTAAAGTATTATGAACTACTTCAAAAAAACCAGACATGAAAAGCAGTTCAAAGTAATGCCTGATCTTACAAAGCATCAGGAGCATGGATCAGTACTAATACCAAGCTATTTCTGATCATCCATAGCAAGAATGTTCACTAGCTGTGGATGATATGCTTCAGATATATATTTCCCTCATGTTTACTGTCTTATAAATAGCCCACAGCTCTTCAGCTGAATTTCCAAGATGTTTATGATAGCAAACAGAATAGCCCACATCTACTAAAATCTTGTGGCTTTTGCTGTAAGACATACAGTGTGAGCCTGGAATTGCAAAATGACCATGTACCACAATAGGCAGACAAAGCATATCCTCCATCTCTTTTTTTTTTTTTTAACTTTTCATCAGACAGCAATGAATCTTTATCACAGCCAAGTCTTCTGAAGATGAAGATGTTGTGCATTTCAACTGGCACTTCACCTTTGAGGCAGAATTCCACAGGGACAAATCCTGAACCTTTTTTAATGCCCAGACCATCCCAGACTTATTTTTTGTCAAGTCTCATAAGCAGTGAAAGGGATTGTGGATAGTGATCTTTCCACTCCCACTGCACAGAGATCACTTTCCAGGTTTATAAACAGAACTTGATGATACGACAAACTTGATCTACTGTTCAAAATCAAAGAGTGATTTTCTCAAAAGCCTCTAAGGTTGGTACAGTTCTTACATGCAACATCCGGTACTTCTCATCAGTGAAAAGACACTGACTGTTCCCACTCATAGGATTTTCTTCATTGTAATAAACAGGAACACCTATACCTAGTCTTTCTGTCAGTGGCTATTTGTATGCATTCCAAACCCTTTAAAAATCTCCTTTCCAGGAACAGTTAACCTCTTCAGGGAGATAAAGGAGACCAATTCTATACTCTGAAAAAATGAAGTAGTAGAATCTTTTGTTTTCTTCTTCAGTACACACATTTTCTTTTTTGTTTGTAGACATGTATTGGGCTTGAATGGTTGAATGGCAAGGTTTTGAGGGGGGGGGGGGCAGGAGCCAGGTGCTGGCCAAGGCCGAGCCCATAAGCAATGGTGGTAGCGACTCTGTGATAACATATTTAAGAAGGGGAAAAACAGCTTGGGGGAACAGCAGCTGGAGAGAGAAGCGAGAATATGTGAGAGAAACAACTCTGCAGACACCAAGGTCAGTGAAGAAGGAAGGGGAAGAGTGTGAGGAGGAAGGAGTGGCAGAGACAACATGTGATGAACTAACCGCAACCCCCATTTCCCTGTTCCCCTGTGCTGCTGAGGGGATGAGGCAGAGAATATCGGGAGTGAACTTGAGCCTGGGAAGAAGCAGGGACATGCGGGAAGGTGTTTTAAGATTTGGTTTTATCTCTCATTACCTTACTCTGATTTGATTGGCAATAAATTAAATTAATTTCCCCGAGTTGAGTCTGTTTTGCCTGTGACGGTAACTGGTGAGTGATCTCCCTGTCTTTATCTCGACCCATGAGCATTTCATTGCATTTTTCTCTCCCCCTGTCCAGCTGAGGAGGGGGAGTGATAGAGCAGCTTTGGTGGGCACCTGGCGTTGAATTATTTTTAACCTGACACCTGTTGTAAAAAAAAAAAAAAAAAAAAAAGATGCATTCAACTAATTGTATCACATAAAAAAGCAGGTTTGTTTGTTTTCATGCAAACAAGTTCTTGCAATTTTGGTTTTGAACAAGTCCCTGGGAGCTTTGTATCAATTGCTAAACATCGAGATCAAACAACAGCGAGTAGGCAGTACAATGCTATAAAATATAATATTGACAGGAGAGGGAAGTGCCTGTTGGGGAAGGTATTCACAAAGGTTAACATTAGCCCCTGCAGGCTAATGCCTCAATGGCTTTCTCTAGTCAGTAAAGAGAGAAAGGCTCCTCCAGAGGGCGATTCAGAACTGAAGATTCATTTAGCTACTCTGAATCTCTCTCTGGAGGAACCTCACTTCCATTAACTTCAGAAACAGCCTGTAGAGATTAGCCTCAAAAAGATCATGCAAGCCTTTGTCAATACTCCCCACTATTTGCCTTGCATCATTAGGAACAGTGGCTGAAATTCACTACTGAGATGTATAGTTGGGCACACTGTATTTAAATCTGAACACTATGCATTGCACATGGACTGAATTTTACCCAGCTGGAGCTTAGCACTCCTGCCAGAATCACTAAAACACAGTCTCCACAGCGCTACTAGGATGACTGCAGGACTTAGTTTTTTCCACTGCCCTATTAAAGTGCTCCATTTGACGGCCACCTGCATGCTCCATACAAAGGACTGCTGTGCCCCCAGCACCTTCAGAATCCACTAACATTCACCAGTCGTACTGGCACAGCTCCTTCTCTCGCTCCAACTGCTCACTGTATCACTGGAGCAGCAGCGGGAGCTGGGTTTTCACCATCAACCTAAACACAAAGAAGACAAATTCTCAACTTTTGAGACCTGCTGTCAACAATTTTTACAGTTATTATTTAGTAGCAATAAGAGAGGAAAATGGTCTTTTAATCTCAAACACAGAATAAAGTTAGATTTTGTGGCTTGGGAACACAAGGAAGAAAGCCATAGCACTGACAGAATATTATCAGGGCCACTTCCTAAGTCTTCCAGTTCTCCTACACTTCATCGGATCATTGTGCTTCCCTCCCTGCAAAATTTCCATGATATCTTCAAATTCTATCAAGTAATAGATTTGAGAAAAGCAAAACTTCTATAAAGTTGTATAAACCAAAAGAATGATTACAGCTCTTTAAAAGTTCTAGTGGGACTTTTCACATCAATGCTTTATGATTCTGCCAAAATTTCTCTTCACAGAATATCTTTGTAATATAAGCCAGCCATCATTTTACAAATGTAAAACAGAAAAAAAAAAACAAACCCTTTAAATTGACTTCAGCAAAGCTGTGACAAAGTTAATCACAAACAACCGAAGTCTTTCATGTAACATCAGTCAAGTTATAACCAGAGCCAAAGACCAAACAAACTCCAGGTAGAGCTGATTTCCAAAGTATGCCTTAAAGTATGGTTGGACAAACCAGTACCAGTCTGAGAGTACAGTGCTCTTTTCACAACCTCATGACAACTCCCAAAGCCTGGTTCTAAACTTAAATTTTTCCTATACAACTATGTCAAACATGACTTGGACATCACAAAATTAACTTGTAAACCTCAAATCAACTTGCAAACATCTGCTAAGTACATTTTACCACTGAAATCAAGCCTCTTTATCAAATGGAAAAGTTATGTTCAGATTTTAGAGACCAGTGAGACAAAGGTGTAATGAATACAGAAAGTACTATGAAGACCAGTCATTGTTGCAAAGGAACAGATCCTTTGCACATTACGTAAATCACTTGCAATGCAGTATGTCAAACAAATACTTTATGCTACCTGTGCTATTACCTAAGTAACAGTGTAAGAAATGTTAGCCCCCATCTGAAATTATTTTTACATAACCCTCCTTTACATAAACATCAGTTTCAGAATGCATCTAACCATGATGGCCTTTTGAAAACTATATTGCACCTTTAGACAGGGGGAAAAAACCAAAGGTTCCTGTTTGTTATATTCCAGTATCAGGTGTTTTTTCAGGTATTCAGTCATGAGATTTGCACATAAAAATTACAAGCAATTAATTTGGCTCATCCTAATTATATTGTGGCATTAGATTAATAGAAACTATGCACTCTGGCCTTTAAGGGCAGTGTTCTGTAGAATTCTGCATAATAAGAATCTTTTGGCTTGAACTGAATCTCAAAGCATGTTGATTAGAAGGTTAAAGGGCAGAGTTTTTAATTATTGTCAAAATCTAATTAAGAATATGAGAGAGGAACAAAGTTTGCACTTTTTTCATATAACTGTTTATTAAAATAAAGGAAAATCCAGAATTTTACTCAATGTACACCCACTCAGAAGGGCATTTTGTACTTCTGCACTATCTGACATCTTATCTGAACATCTTTCTAGAGCACGGTTATTGCACAGGACAGTTGTATTTGTGACAACACTCATTTAACCAAGCACTACGTTGCCCATTGTTCTTTCTGTTAAACTCAGTGGGACAGAAAAAATGCAACAGGGTAAGATTTTGCCAGATATATTAAATCACAAAGTAGATTACCAGTTCAAGAAAAGCAGCACTTTCTCTAATTAAAATACACAACTGATAGTTTACCCCTGGCAACTTATAAACAAGAAGTATATAATTTGAACACAAACATTTCAGTGAATTCTATGCTGTTTCCCATGTAACACACAGTAACAAAACAAAACTTTTAGAAAGAACCAGTATTAGTTCATTAAAAAAGGAATGACATATTCGACCAGTACCTACACATTCCCAAATTACGCTGCAATCCTTCTCAGCTGATGGCACTTCATGTGAGGAGATCAGGTCTCAAATTCGCTGAAACTGCATTTAAGTTCACAATACCTCAAATGAAGTTTTAACATGTGGAAACCTCTGTTTTCTCCTTTATCTAAAATATTTGCAGCAATTAAATCTTATGATTACTTTGGAACATTTGTCAGTTATTTACTAATTTGAGTAATAAAGCCCTGAAATTTCCCTTTTATTTGAGCTTAATACTTGAACTACGTGAAAACTGTTCCTTTAAACATGGAAGTAAGTTTAGGAAAAATAAAAGGCAAAAAAAAAAAAGAAAGTTTTAGCACTCTGTAGGAACAATTTCTTTGTAGCAAAATCGTAACACAGTTCCCCCTTCCACAAAGTAGGCCCAACAATATCCAGTATTTTAAATATCTATTGATCATGGCTGTGTGTTTACCCTTGTGGTGTCAGTAACACCTATAGAGAAATCCATCTTTCTTTCAGGAACATAACATGGAATCAGCCCATTCTTCTACTAGCCAAGGAAGAATCAGTGCATAAGTTAATATATTTTAACAAGAAAATGAAACCTGATCTTTGTTTAGAAAAAATAAAATCCTGGGAAGTCATTTTTGCTAGCTTCAAAAAAGGCCAATTCATTAGTTGCATTTTGGAGTTCCAAAATAAATAGACTTTTGCTGCATGGCAACGTCATTTATTCCAAAGCTTTCAGTAGACGTTAAGAACTCCCAACTCGATCTCTGGGAATAATCCGTAGATCTGAACCATGCTTTAGAAATACATTTCCTAAACAAATAAACAAAACAGAATGTGTTACCAACCAACCAAATAACAATGTTACCTAAACAAGCATAAACATTTAAAGAATAATGTTAGGTCAGTGTTTAACATCTTTGCAGTAATTCTTCTAATATACCAGAAATATATTCTCCATGTTTCCATGGAATTTCATCTTATCCCTCTTACTCCAAAGAGCTCTTATTTTTAAATAAAAATACCAGACCCAAAGTCAACCAGTAAGACTTGCAAGCTATCACCTTTCAAACTTGCAGTTCCATACTTGAATGTCTGATTTCACTTATATGCCATCATAATTTCAAGACGAGGAAATGAAATTTTACTTCTCCATAATTATTTTTTTTATCTTGAGGACATTCATGCATATACTAATTTTTAATTCTCTCCTTCATTTAGTATTTATCTGCTTCTAACTTCAGAACCTCAAACTGTACTTTTCTTTTAGGAAGGCTCTTCACATATCCACGCATAAGTCAGTCTCATTTTACCATTAAAAAAATCTTGAACTTCATATTTATTACTGTATAGTCTTAATCATGATAATCTTTTCAAGAGGACACAGTGTGAAAATTAGAAGTTTCTAATACTTAGATGTCTAGAATATTTTCTGCATGTATTCAGGATTGACATTCAGGCTGCTGTTTTCTTCTATTAAATGTAACATTTGAAAATGAAACCACATTGCTAAAAGTGATGCATTATTTAATTACTATGTTGAACTTTTTTTTTTAACTTCATACTGCTACTGCATGAAACAGGCTATATGCAATTCTACAATATCAGGTTTTAATAATATCTACCTATTCTTTTTCATCTTTGTGTTGACTTGTAAAAACAGAATAACTGTATTTCTTCCCCAAGACCCCCATTTCATGGATGTAGAGTGCTTTCATAAAAAAGATATTTGACATCTGTTCAAGTTATTAGCATATTGGAACAAAGCCACCCTTTTTCAAACTTCACTTTTCCGGCACATGGGTCATGATCAAAACCATTTGTATGCAACATAACAAGTATTAGAAAATCGGTTCAAAAGAATGTGTTATCAGAATATGTTCTGGTTTTAGAGATCTCCTAAGACAACATACTGAGGAGCTCTATAAAACCCACTGAACGCAAATCTGGCACACCAGCAAACCAGAGACCCAAGCTCACCAATCTAGATGAAAAGTATCCATATTGCAATGGCCATCATAAAACTCTAAAACTTTAAAACAGGCCACAGCTGCATCTCATGCAGACAGCAGTTCACCCCACCTCTCAGTCTGTTTCCATCATTAATATCAGTGGCTTTATTAAAGTTATGGCATGCTATTCCCTGAACTACTGAGGATTTAAAATTGAAATCAATACAGGAATTAAGTGCTAAGCCTAGCTTTTTCAGCTTTCATTTCCCCTGCTTCATGGAATCATGTAGGGAGAATGAGAGAAAGTCATACTTGAGGCGTACTTTTATTCAGAAAGGTGGGGAAATAGTGGAACAGTACAAAATCTCTGAAATCGCCAAGGATTGCTAAGATTTTATTCCTAGATCATCTTATTTTGGGAAGTTTTTGAAGACTAAAGTGACTGTCCAATCTACAAGAACTTTTAATATATGCAAAAAAAAAAGAAAAAAAGAAGGGGAAAAAAAAAAAACAAACCACGTTTTACCCTACCAAGTTTCTGAGATATAAGTTAATAAGGCTGAATGTAAGGTTATACCTAAATGTTGTTCCCCCCCCGCCCCCCAGTTTAAGGGCAACATCACACAGCATTGACAGGACAATTGTACCTTCTAAGTTAAAAAAAAAAAAAAATCCATGTGCAATCCATGTGCCTAATCTTACATTTGCAGATAAGATTAAGACTGTGATGAAAACATTTTGCACCTAGATGCTTTTGATTTTCCTGATCCTTGATTATGAGATGCTGTCTTATACTACTACTGAATAATTCCTCAACATTTATAAGAACTTAGGAGAGGTAAAGCAAATCAACTGGATATATGAATTGAATATGCATAGCTGCGAGCATGATGAACTACCATATGGATGTTGTCATTCAGGAGTCAAGTAGTCCTAAATACATTTACTTTGCAGGATTAAGCTACAAGTAATTTGAGCTACATAATACAAAACGAAAGTATACTTTTGAGGAAGAGAAAGAGCGTAAGCATACCTTAACTTAAGCAACTGACTTTATCTGTTTTGCCTAAGTATTCTTGAGTGGTCACATGAAAATGTGGCTTTACATGTGGGTGATGATCTAGTAGCTAAACTAAATTATTAGTTTTATTATCTGTTTTTAATATGCTCAGTCATGGGACCATGATGAGGACAGCATCAGCTAAGGAGTCTGCCTGAGGCAGTACACCTAACAAACCATAATCCTGGTGTCCTAAGGCAAGTCCAGGAAGAACAGAAACCTCCAGTGGAGCAGAAAGCCAAACGCTCACTTGATCTTCATTTTCAAATGTTGTTCATGCAATCGCAGACCTCAGAAATGGGTCACTACACTTAAATGGTTCCTTTTATGGCTCCAAGAAATTCCACAAACTAATGTCAAGCAAGTGCTCTTCTAACCATCAGATACTATTATGTGCTCTGCAAGGATTTACTTTATACTAGTTATCTTACATAGTTAAGTATGCTGATAATAACTTGTTTTCCTATTCTCTCTTTAGATCTGAAAAAAACTGGTTTGGTATCTTCAATAACAATTGGCAGACAGAGGGCGTGAATGAATGAGACCTGGCAGAGATTTCATGAAAAAAACAGAGAAGTGGCAAGTCTCCATCAACTGTTCATCATGTTTGCAAGCAGGAGTAAAATTACATTCACAGTTTTCACTGGATGACTGTGTTCCACAAGCACTAAAGCCATTTTTGTTATTTCTTAGTATCATAGAATTGTTTAGGTTGGAAAAGACCTTTAAGATCATTGAGTCCAACCATTAACCTAGCACTGCCAACTCCACCACTAATCCATGTTCCTAAGCACCACATCTACACGTCTTTTAAATACCTCCAGGGATGGGGACTCCACCACTTCCCTGGGCAGCCTGTTCCAGTGCCTGACTACCCTTTCAGTAAAGAAGTTTTTCCAAACTAAACCTCCCCTGGCGCAACCTGAGGCCATTTCCTCTCGTCCTATCGCTTGTTACTTGGGAGAAGAGACCGACCCCCACCTCACTACAACCTCCTTTCAGGTAGTTGTGGAGAGCAATAAGGTCTCCTCTGAGCCTCTTTTTCTCCAGGCTAAACAACCCCACTTCCCTCAGCTGCTCCTCGTAAGACTTGTTCTGTAGACCCTTCACCAGCTTCATTGCCCTTCTTTGCACACACTCCAGCACCTCGATGTCCTTCCTGTAGTGAGGGGCCCAAACCTGAACACAGTATTTCATGTGTGGCCTCACCAGTGCCGAGTACAGGGGGACGATCACTTCCCTAGTCCTGCTGTCCACACTGTTTCTGATACAAGCCAGGATGCTATTGGTCTTCTTGGCCACCTGGGCATGCTGCTGGCTCATATTCATAGTAGGAAGTAATGAACATTTCTTCCCTAACAAGATACTCCACTCCACCATAACTCTTATCTCAAATGGGTCAGGATTAGATTACTGTAATAATTTCCAAGTTAATTTAAAAGTATAGCGTTCCAGGAACAAGTTCACAGAAGCCTGCTTCCAGACAACAGAGCATTATTAGTACAATTCAACATCTGTGCTACGTTTCCCTGTATTTCAGGAAGTGATGGGGAAAAGTTTTACACTTTTCTGTGACAGAGATAAACTCTTGTCTCATAGCAAGCCCCCACAGTTGAAATCAGGTTTCTCACCTGGAGTCCCTTGGTGAGAACAAGAGGGCTATCGACAAGAAGATCCTCTCTTCTTGAAAACATGCTTTCCAAAGCACCTAGAGTTCCTGCTCTAAAACTGCATACTGTTTTTAAACCTATATCGTTAGAAGTGCTGCTAAAATAGCAAATACTACTGGACTAGGTATAGTGAGGAAAAAATATAGCTATTACTTGTTATTTCAGTAACATGTAACACAGTATTGCTCTTTTAAACTGCACACTAAATAGCTAAGGCCTGAAGATCAGAAGTGCTTCACTGTTTCACAGATCTAAATAACCAAATGTTGAACCATAGTTCTGTGGATTTAACCTTTTACACACTACACTGGCCATAGTTTCTAACTACTGGGTAATGCTTCTCCCATTTAAGAAATCAAAATATAAATCAACCCCAAGTGCTATGCATTAGTTTAAAAGAAAAATAACTGAGGTTTTTAGTACTACGCTTCATAAATAATAACTTACCTGCTGTCTGTGCAGGGTTTATTCCTATTCCATCTAGAAAAAAAAATTACACAAAAAAAAAAAAAGAAAAAAAACAGGGGAAGGTGAAACAGACATAATACAATTTACTACACTAAACTTACAGCTCAAAAAATGTAATATACCAACAAGATATAATTGTTACATTAGGTCTTCAAGCAGCTCTTTCCTATAATCAAAACTAGCCTTATCACAGGAGCTAACAAGAAACCTTCTGCACAGAAAATCCATGCTATATGTTAGGACAAAATCAAATTAATAATATTAGTGGTTTAATACCTTCATCCCATGCATAAGCAATTTAAATAATGTTGCAATACTATTAAATTCAGTTTGCAGTCTGTAGAGGTTGTGAAAGAAAAGACAGTTTTGCTTTTATCAATACCTCTTCACTGAAACAACAATACAAAACCTATTAAAATATATATATAAACTATATTCTTACCATTTGTTATAATGGCACTTGTTGCTGCAGGAACTTTGAACTAGAGGAATTAAGACATAAAGGAAATAAGACCAAAGGAAATAGGACAAAATAATATAAGAAACATAGTTAAAGCAGAAAATATATGGGGAATATTCAAAGCAATTATAATTTTAGCTGGTTCAGGTACAAAAAAATTATGAGAAAAGATTCCCCTCAGATTTAGAGATATAGAAAATAAAGGTTTAAAGTCAAAGACACCTCAATACAGAATGTGAAATTTGCAGTACTAAACAACTAATTAAGTCCAATTATTATTACTTATTAGATAAAATATAAAAGCTAAGCATTCACAAAGTTAAGAAATATTAGTTCTTATTATACTAAATAACGGAACACCTGAACATGTATGGAAATGAACTTCTAAGAAGCATACCTGTTATGTCTAACAGAGTTAAACCAGAACTAGCTTGAGCTAATCTTGGTTAATTTTGACGTATTTCCTAGCTTTCTCCCTGGCTCTACTGGGACCTCGCCAACTGCACTGCTCCAAGAGAAGAGTTCACTCCAAAACTTGCTTACAAAAAGAAGCACTAACAGCACTGCATCAGATCTGGCTCCCTCCTCAGATTTCTGACACCAGCCTAAGCAGGCTTTGTACCTTCAATCACCACCCTGTGTCTCCACGGTACCTCACCTCCATGCGCATCATACGCGGTCAGTTTTACAATATTGAAAAGCCCTACTCAGCTGGGGTTGCATTGCATACAGGCTTCAAACTATTTCAGAAAATCTGAACTGAGATGGGGAAACCAAAATTAATTATTTCTCAGGACTAGAGGGAGACAGGCAGGGCCAGAGAAAAATCCTGGACTATCTATCTAACGTGGTTGGACCACACAGGACAGAAAGGCTAGGGTGGGTGCAAATCAGTCAGTCCGTCTGAGGACCAAAGGTTGCTCCTTGGGCTTCCTTTACTTAGAACAATGAACAACCCCTAAGGTAAAAGACTGGTGTCTCAGCAATGAGCAAGTATCAGTGAAACCTCCTCACAAAGCACTTCATCCTCCTCTCTATATTTCATAAGAAAAAGGGCAGCTAACTAGGAATGCTAACAGAGTGCTTCCCTGGAAGAACTGCAGAGCTCTCCCATCTGCTGAACAAGTCACTTCAGCTGTGCCTTTCAGTGGCATTCATTAATTGTGCTTCCCTCATTTTTTGATTGCTCAACTTAAGATTTCAAGGTCTGATTGCAGAAACACTATGCATTAACAGCAACAGCTAAAGCTCACAGAAACCATGCTCGAATACAGTACTTAATTATTAATATACTGAAAAACTGGCTCTTTTTATCTTCAGACACACAAAATTAGTGATTTTTTTTAACTTATTCTCTCAGCTTTTTATGCATAGCAGGTAAATCATGTCAAATCCTCATCTTGCAGGCTGACATGAAAACAGTAATTTCTGCAAAAGACAAGTTGGATACCAGTGTCATTGTAGAAAGGCCACGAGGAAAGTAACAATTTGTCTTCACAGCAAGATTTGAATAATGAAGTTGATAAAATAGGAGCTACATATTTAACAGTACGAACGTAAAAAATAATGTGCCATCTCATAACAGCCTATGTATACATATATGCTGAAGAAAGCAAGCCTTCATTCTCGAGTTCACTAACTTTGGGAATCTTGACTTAGCAGTCTAAGGAGAAATCTTTTAACTGGTTTGGTTTATGTGGGTTTTTGGGGTTTTTTTTACATAATAGGAGAAAATGAATTTATAAGGTTTGAAGAGTGGGATTAATGTCAATCATATTAAGTCCTGCCCCCTAGAATGAGTTCATCTCCAATTCAAAAAGTAAAAGAATAAAACATAAAAAAAACCTGAACACCAGGAAATATATGTTTAACCTAAGTTATTTTTCAACAAGCAGGTTTCCATTGTAATTAAGTGACACCATGGATCTTTCATCCTAAGTCATCTGAAAAAAACCCAAAAATGTAACTTCTAGAATTAAGTGCCTCTTCTGATTTCTTCTCTGTCTCTTGCACCTCTCAATACATGAAAGGGATGGATCATTCACAGGATGGATGTCTCTACGCATTTTGTGTCATTTTGCTTTTCAGTAGGAGAATCTATCTGATGCCAATACACTCAGTGCCCGAGAACTGTGGGGCAACCAGTCAGTGAAGCACTAGTTAAGAGTATCTTATTGCTTCATACTCTACTGTTAGAAGAGAATATTGTTATCTTAGCCCAAAATACTGGGTTAAACAGCAATAGTTGTCAGCTATATACTCAGCACATGAAAATCATCACAAGTATAACACAGAAAGGGAAACTACCGTTGGAAATAATTACACGTAATTTGGTGCAATATGGCTCACTACTTAAATCAAAAATCCTTCCTGTGGCTGCTAAGCATATGTTTCCCATGCTGAAAATATACCAGCCTTCTGTGGTACAAAGTCACATGGATACTCAAGTAGGAAAGAAGTTCTGTATTCAGCAGATAAACCTTGGCTTGCTTTGAAACCAAATTGGGTAACATCCAGCCCCAATCTCACACACCTTAAAGAAAGAGATTGTTTGCTTTAAAAACCTTATAAATTGATAACTGAGGCTGCCACAAAACTTATTTTCTCCAATGCCAGGAAATACATTTGTTAATATCTACAGTCAAACTATAAGGAAAAGATGACAATCATATTCCAACAATTATATCCCTTTCTCACTTTTTACAATGATGACAAAAATCCTCTACAGTAATAAGCTCATCTCCTTTTTGCACAAAGAATAGCAGATAAGTGCATTAAACCATAGTATTTTAGCATCGATCTATCAGGAGTAACATTAGAATAACAAAATAATAGTTTCAAAAATATACATGTTCATGAAAGAATAAAATTTAACTTTATTTAATGGACATGGATGACTATTTTAGTAATAATTCCACAAATGTAAGAGAGGTTTTTTGTAAGTATTGTGCAAATGCACACCTGAGATATGTACCAAGTAGCTCTAACAGATGAAGGAAAAAACCCAATAGATACCACACATTGTAAATGAGCCATTAACACTGTCACAATAAACTGTGACAATTGTGGAAAGAACTATAAATAGATAAAAACTGAAGAAATTACTGTTTCCAATACTCTACATTTCAATTTACCTTTTTTATATATAGTCCATAAGACAAAGAGAGAAAATAAAAAATAAGGAAAGATTTAAATTTGCATTATCCAAATTATCATTGCCAAATGTATATATTGGGAAGAGCTGGGACTGCTACAAATGACTGAGACTTCCTGAGACCTCCCCATTTAATGATCCAGTTTTTTTTCACTTCCAGCTCTGTCAATCGTGAATTGTGTACAATGAACTTTCACGTCATGTGATGTGCTAGAGATGACAGAAAAAAAAATCTGTTACGTATTTTAGTTATTTCCAAGAAAAAAGAAAAGAAGGAACACATCTTGTTTTGTGCAATGAAAGTAATTCAGAAAACTGTAATCTTTGACAAAGCACTGTGACTGAAACTTGATATACAAGATGACCATTCTACACCATCGCTACACTTCTACTGTTCCAGGAGAATTCTGGTTATGATTTGGCCAAAATTTACGACTCTGAAAAACGACTCAGTAGAAACTTGCTAAGGCTAAACAGGTGAAATTTAAATCCTTCTCTGTCCCGAGAGCTTTAATCACTGAGGAGATAATGCACTTTCCCTGGAGACCACCTAACATCTTTGTCCAAAATCCAGGGCTACAGTTTGATCTTTTCTTTATGTGTTTCATACAAGGTATTGTGAAACTGGTATCTGAATCACAATACACAGCATAAGTTAAGCTGTGCAGTTCAAGGAACAAAAAAACATTTATATAAGAAAAAAAATCCGTCTCATTCTTTTCAATGTCAGTTCACAAAGGATGAAAGGAGCTTCCTTCCTGGGGAAGAGTCTAACAGTCTTTTTTGCTCTCTGTTTACAAAGCATTTAGTTCTGCCTGGTCTCACAGAGATGTAGAAAGCTTCAGTAACACATCAGCAACGACAACTAAAACCAGCGCCATATTCTGAAAAATCAATCATACGTTCATGTTATTAATTTCTTGACACAGGCTAATAAAAAAGTGCTTCACACTGTTTTGTGGGGGGAATTAATAAATAAAGTGTTCCTTGTATTTTCTATTTTCTTTAAAAAAAATGTTTATTGTATAAGCATTTAATGGAATTACTCTAGTGAGCATTAACAACACTGGGCTCTTTTACATTCCATCACACGTTTTCAGTCTGTTTTGAGAGCCTCCAAAACACGTCTACAATTAACTGTGCTGAACCAGCGTGGTCTGAAGTCAAACAGCAAAAGTCCCATGGATGCTCAAAATACATCAACTAAAAGAATGGTTTGCTAAATGTGAATATTTAAGTAATTAATTCATCTCTAAATCCTTTTCACAGAGGACCCTATCACCAACACCGTGGTTCCACGAGTAGGTAGTTAACGGGTTTGATGGCAACCCTCCCACCAGAAGTGGCCCTTCACTCCTGGTGTCTCCAACTACTTAGTCCCACTCCAGTCTTTCCTGGTCCCTCATACTATTAGACTTTTCAGTCTAGGTCTCTATGTATGGGTTGTGTGGGCACAGCTGCATTAGTTCAGATTAAAAATAACTCGGAAAAAAACACAGTAAAAAAAAAAGGCAATTAAATCAGCAAATATCTTTAACAGCATTTATTATTCTGTACATTGTTCTGTTCAATCAAAGTTACAACAAACAATCAATCCACAACCTGCCCCCACAAGCTGTGTTTCCAGTAAGAACTTCTGTCACATAGTGGTATAATACTATCAACACAAGGTGACTCAAGACATGTAGTCCATTATCCTTCCTAATTATTTGTTTTATTACAATTCCAATGCTTGAACAAATGAAATTTTCAATCACCCCAAATTTCCAAAGTTTTCCTAAAAAGACAGAAGGGGAGTTGCAAGAACAGATTCTTAGCTGAAACTGTTTGCTGACTAGATGAAAGAAGCCATCATGCTTTTGAGCACTTTATTTTACTGTTTACACCCAGATGAACATCTCTTAATCTTTGTACACTTAATCAGAAACAAACAGGATGCATCTCTTCAAATACATTATACAGGCAATTTAGGCACCTATTGGTTTTGGATTCCGTGTGAAAGACCAAACGCCCAGAAGCCAAAGAATATATTATCTGAGTCTTATTCACTGAAGTCTGTTTTTTGAATCTAGCCCATATGTCTAATCTTATTACCTTTTATAATCTAAATTGTATGTCTTCCAAAGTCAGAGATTACTAAAACTAAATGTGAAAAGAGTTTAAGAATTTCCTGAAAAATTCTAAAGAATTTTCTGGATATTCTACATAAGCAATTTAAAATAGTAAATATTCAACAGCAACCTTTTAATTATGTTCACTATCATAAATTTTTATGTTATTCATATAAAATAGTTTAATTGCAAAGAAGAACAGGAAGTGTGCAATACCTGCTGTTGATGTGTAAATTGTGCAAGAATTGCCAAGTTAAAGATTCTGAAAGTTTTGGCAGGCCCCCACTGACACCAGTAAAGCTTGTGTTCACATGTATCTAACAGGAGCATTCTTTGTGCTGAATTAACCATTGTATTTTACAATTGAAAAGATTTTGCTTTCAGGAACGTTCAAAAAGTTGAAAACCAACATCATCACTTTCTACTTACTTCTTCTGCAGCAAACTTCAAGACAGCTGTGAAAGGTGTACTTTCAGGCACACTTAACCTGAAATCACAATGTAAGTAAATACGCGACTGTTAAGACAAACTGAAAACTGTATTTGGTATTAAACTACTAATTAAAACTTCACTTTTACCAACGGTAATACTTTTGCCAAAGATGTGCGTGTACTACTCTTTTTATTGCCAAAGATGTGCATGTACTATTTCGGGGTGGGTCTCTTCTCCCAAGTAACAAGTGACAGGACAAGAGGAAATGGGCTCAAGGTGTGCCAGGGGACATTTAGATTAGCTATTAGGAAAAACTGATTCATGGAGAGCGTGGTTAGGCATTGGAACAGCCTGCCCAGGGAAGTGGTGCAATCACAGTCCCTGGAAGCGCTCAAAAAACATGTGGATGTGGTGCTCAGGGACATGGCTTAGAGGTGGACCTGGCAGTTAGGTTAATGGTTGGACTCGATGATCTCAGAGGTCTTTTCCAACCTGAATGACTCTATTATATTTAAGGTCTAGATCAAAGCATAAACAGATACGCATGGCACTACGACAAAGTAGAAAAGCCCCGACAGCTGAATTAACAGCCGAAAACCGCCTCTCGTTTCACACGGAGGAAGAAAAATGCCTTTTCCCCTCGTGCGAAAGCCCTGACAAGATGACCATTAAAAGCCAGGCGGCTCAGGAGCGCCTACGTTCGCGCTGCCGCCGGTTTTCACGGCCTCCTCGCGTCACGCAGTGACAGCGCAGCACCCGCCCGGCCCCGGCCCGCCACGCCACTCACACTTTGTAGGGCAGCCGCGGGTCCGAGGTGAGCGTTACTTTAAAGGTGACCTTCGACCTGGGGAGAGCAAGGAGAAAGCACCGGGTTAGGGCTGGAGGGAGGTGGGGAGCGGTGGGCGCGGGGTCGCTCCCTCCCTCCCTCACATGCTGCCGCCGAGCGTTGCCGCCGCCGCTCCCCACCGACACGTCAACCGCCGCCCGGCGCCCGAGGGGGCCTTCGATGCCCCTTCCGCCTCCTGAGCTGCCCGCGGCGCGCCTGATCGAAAAGAAAAAATAAACATGCCCGGCCGACACCTCCGGGAGAGGGAGCGGGAGCGTTCTGTCTCGGATCCCGACTGGCGCGGGGAGGGGAGAGGCTGAGGGGTGCATGAGGTGCACCGGACAACGGTGGTGACGATTTCTAATGAGGCAATTGCTCTGGCTGTTCCGCTCTGGCGGAAGGCCCCCGGTGCTGGGTCCCTTGCGTTTCCGTAGGCGTCGTGGAGTGACGTCCGGCCGGCCTCGGAGGGGGAGCGGGGCCGGGCTGGGCCGGGCCGGGCCCGACGGGACCGAGTGCTGGGCGGGCGGCGTCCCCCGGGCCGAGCCGGGCTGGACGGGACGGGACCGAGGGATGGGCGGGTGGCGTCCCCCGGGGCAGGCACGGCTGAAGGACGTGGCGGGTGGCGGCCTGCGCGCCTCGCAGCGGCCCGGCGGGGTCGGAGGTGTGGGGCCTTTAAACAAAGATGAGTCCCTCTTCTTCTGAACAAATGCCAACAAGGGACTGCTGGATTTAAGTGTGTGCTTGGATGTAACTGGCAGGTGTATGTGTGTGTCTATATTTATATATACGTATGTGGTCGTCTATATGTATGCAAACGTATACGTGTGACGTGGGGGTGGTTCGTTGTTGGGTTTGGTTACCTTGAGGTTTCGAGTTTGTGTCGCTCTCAAACCAAAACGTTCTGCGGGTGCTTATTGAAGTTACACAGGGGAAGACTGATGCCAGTACACACCGATTCCTATTCCCTTCATATTCAAAATCAATCACATCTTCCTTGTAATGGGGGAGTTAGAGTTGGGGTTTTATTTGGGTAGTGACATATACTTTTATGGCAGAAAACCGGCAGTTTCCAGTTTTGTTCATATGTGGCTTTCGACAAGCTAATTTCTTTTAAATAAGTAAAAATTTAAATAAGGTTGCATGGGAATGCAAAGTAATTTTTCTCTTTAATGCTTGTTCATCTTAATGCAGGCAATGACCGTGTTTCCAACTCTGGGTATGCCAGCACTACCTTTGTAGAAAATATTTTGCCAAACTTTCATATTTTCTCCCGTCTCTACCGTCTGCAGGAAGGACAGCTTTCACTGGGGTGCTTGTTATCACACACTGCTTCCCAGACTGATCATGGCAAAGCACTTTGTAGTGTTCACTTTAATTGGGGTCTCATCAGGGTAGATGAAATGCTCTACATGAGGTAGAAGAAATGCCCAACAAAAGGCAGTTGACACACTGGAGTCACTAATTTCTTACCTAAGGATTGGCGCAGTGCCCAGCCATGAAATTCAGCTTTTCACTATTGTGTTGCTCTTATTTGAACATAGACAAAACTGAAAAAAAAAAATCAAAAACAAGGAGAAGAAATTCACTAGCAGCTTGTACGATGGCATTAATATTTTCCTGTATGTCCTGCATTTACCTTTATGTTACTGTGTTTGCCTTTCAAAACTGTATCATGTTGGTGGCTCATGCTCATTTTGTAATCCATTAGTGATCCCATGGCTTTTTCATCCCCCTGCTTCTAAGAGATCACCCCTTAAGTTAGAAATAAGTAATAGTCATCTCTGAGCATGTAACCTTGCATTTTGGGTAGCTAAATGTTATCCCATTTTATTCTTGCCCTTTTCAAAATCAGTTATTTTTGTATCATGTTATGTCTTTGATTTATACAACTCTGCATCGTTTGCAGTTCTCATTAATGCATTGTTGTTTTCTGTGCCAAGGTCATTAATGCAGATGTGAAATAAAAGACTGATCCTTTTAGTACTTCATTTCTTGCCTTTCACTGTAAGGACTTCTGTCTGAGGAAATAAGCGCACCCAAATCTTCATGCTGTTAAAGCTGGACTGCTTTTAGTACCCAAATTTACTTGGTTAAATCTGAATTGAGCATATCTGAGCTATAATGCTGCTGAGAGCAGCCTAAATCCAGGCTGGACTAGTCCTGTGTGCTGGCTGCATGGTCTTGTTCTCTGCCAGGCAGACGAACCAACACTCGTGACCAGGTAGTGAGTCAGTTCAGGGAACTGATTTGGCAAAAAAACTGAATTTTTCTTTTAGGTAGTTTTCATCTGGTTAGCCTCTTGAATGAGCACAAAGAAGGACATGAGGAAGCACGTCTGATTGGCAGTGATATCACACTGCAACTTCGGTCGGCTTAAGGTGCTGCGGAGGTGTACCCTGAGCAGGCATTAAGAGTGTGATGGTATCCTCATTTGCTGGTAACTTCAGGGTCAGAGTCTTTGAAAGTAAATTCAGGAATCCAAGTCATTTCATAAAAATAAGGCGTTTCCAGTGATGGAAATTTATAATTTCACTATGCTGTCTAAACCTTTTACGGAAGCTGGCAGGGTTGTTTATTTTTTCTGAGAATTTACAATGAATAAAGGAAGAAGAATGTGCATGATTTTTCTCTTTCAGCTGGGAGAGTTAATGGGACTTGGTGTCCTGTCTGAAAATGAGCCAGGGATGGATTAGAGGTGACTATATCTCGCTAATGTGTTTATATACAACAACATTCTCCTCAACTCCAGAAAAACTGGTCTATTCCCAACGAAGTCTGCCCTCCTTTCCCTGTGAGTGAAAACAGAGAAGAGACTGGAGTTC